ATTAATTTCTTTCTATTTTTAGTAGAGACGGGGTCTCGCTCTTGCTCAGGCTGGTCTCGAACTCCTGACCTCAAACAATCCGCCTCGGCATCCCAGAGAGCTGGGATTACAGGCGTGAGCCACCGCGCCTGGCCAAGGCTACTAGACTTTGAGACAACACCTACTTTACTTGTGCGTGTCTGGATGTACTCTAATCAAATAAGGATCCTGCAGTATGCACTCACAGAAAATACCCTGAAACACACAGAAGTTTCCTACCTGCTTGGTGGCTGTATATGCTATAGTTAATAGGTTTTCTCTGTCATCTACTGAAATAAGGAGAGGACCTTAAAGTTATTAATAATTTTATAATTCCCTGCACATGTTATAATTTAATTCTGTACGTTGGTTTTCTTTTTCTCCTTTTTAGATCCTAGCTCAGTCATGTACCGAAATCCTGGAATTGCGGCCCTCCAGTGTCTGTGTGGGGGGTGAGTGTTTAGAATTTAAAAATATCATGTAAGAAATTGTATTTTTTTTTCCTAGCTAAAATATATGATTTGAAACTCATGTTGGAAAGAGAATAGCAGAATTAACTTTTTTGGCATCTTTTTTTGTGTAAGAATTTTTAAATAATTCCTTGAAATATTTCTATTTTAAATTCAAATTTTTAAGATTGGAGTGTTATTTTAAATAATGAGCATATTGTGTGACAGGCTTTTAGAATCTTCTGTATATTTAGTTCACATCTGAGACCTTTCCTATGGCAAATAAAATATGAAATCTTTTCTTTTATCTGGTTACACAAACAGCCCGGTATCTGTAGACTTTGAGCTCTACACTTCGATGACCTGGCCAAGGTACGGTGTCTGCCAGCTCAGGGCACACGAGGAAGTGACTTACGGGTGGATGGCAGGAAGGAAGCGGGTGGCTTCAAAGAATAGACTCAGGTTTTCACACCTCCTAGCCATCCTCGCCCGGAGAGAGTCTGATTCTCTCTGGCCTGTTTTATTTCTTCTTCCAGTCTGACCCGGAGTTCGTTTTAACCTGACTTAACTTTAAAAGGAAAACTACTGAGCATAGTGGGGCAGGAAACAACCTGTGTAATTTACCTGGGAGCCTCCCAACCTGTATGTGGTCTTACACTCTGCATCTTCCAGACTCCCCCAGTGAACGATTATTGAGACGTTTAAGAGAAATAGTGCATCCGAACATTCCGGGACAGGATTGTCTTTGCTACAAAGCATAGATTAATACATTTCTAGAGATAACAAAGAAAAAATAAATGGAAAAATAATATTATAATACTAGTTATTGTTCATCAAACTCCTATTTTGTGCTGAGCACATATTGGATCCTTTGTGTTTGTAATTTTACCTAAATCCTCTTAAAAACGCTGTTTGACAGTTTTATAAATCCCTGATTTTCAGGTGGGGAAACCGAGGCAGAGACAGGTTCAGCACTTGCTGTTAGTAATCGTCTGGCTCGATCGTTGTCTGCCTGACTCTAGTGCCCATGCTCTTCCTGAATCCCATTTTAAGTTTTACCTGCGCTTTATTTCAATTTATCAGTAAAATTCCTTTAGCAACACACTGAATGAAGGATGGCCTGGCGCAGGATTTTATTCCACAGTTAATGACTATATATGCCTTGGATGGTGTTGGGTAGCAGAAGCTGGGGAGGATTGATGATGTTAGAGTAAATCAGAGCGGAGACCAAGCCTGCAGGATCCCTGCGCAAAGGCGGTTGGTCCTCATGAGTGACCTTCAGCTTGCTTGATTTGCAAACATCATCGAAGCTTAACTTGATCTCTTTCTTATAAATGCCTATAGTAAGAAAAACAGAACTTAAGCTCAATCAATCAAAAACAACCAAGAAACTTGCATCACTCGGGACTTCCCAGCAAGATAGACGAAATCAGGCAACTGCATGACTGTAACCCATGAAATACTTCCTTCACTTTCCTTCCAAGCTCATCCTATTAAAAGCCCCCCGCCACATTGCATTTCCTCGGTGGAGCTCCTGAACCACTTCTGATTTGGAGCTTTCCAATCCAGAAATCGTTGTTTGCTTAAATAACTCCTCCCCCCCCCAAAAAAAACTATGGTGCCTCAGTTTACCCTTTTAACAAGAGTTAATCACTATTAAAATAATAAATCATATTTCAGCTAAGTAGCAAGCATTTATTGTCTATGAAGATATTTGATCAGTTATCTTTCCTACTAACATATTCTTTCACTCTCTAACATTTTTTAGTGCCTGTGTGTACTACAGAGAGAGGGTACAATAAGTTAGATCAACTTCCTTTAGTAACTATCTGTAGATGGTTAGCATCCAAAATACACGACTTCTGCTGGTATATACATTGTATGCAATAGAAAATGAAGCCAAGGTTAGTTAGGTGAAGAAGCTGTTAAGGAAGAACTCTGTCAGAGAGAGACATAAAGAAAATATTACACATGCCTTTTCTGAAAACCAAAGAACATGAATAATTAATTAGTTTTCTTTACATTCCCAGACCTCATGATATTTTCCTAAGGGTAGGATTTGGGGAAGTTTGTATGGTATCTGTCTGGGAATGACTCCTACGCTTCAATTCTAATACCTTGGTCACTGCTGGAAAATTAGAAAGCATAAGGGGTGCTTTCTTTTCTTTTCTAAAAAATAAAATGGTATCTTCAATACACTTACCTGGAGGGCTGAGAAAGTCAGCACGGTTGGA